ACTCGAGTTGCAACCAGAGTCACGGAACGGATTAAGTTCGTATCCCAAGGTACCACTGTATATGTTATTTGCTATTAACTGAAGCATATTCCACATGAGGACACTCCATAGAATAACGGAAAGGCATTGCAAGATGGCAGTTTCATTTCAGTTGTTTGGATTCATTTCCAAATGTCTCTGACATGGAATTTGCTACTGTGCGCTCAGTCCCAGTTTCTGTGGACTGTCCTTTTCTGTCAGTCGCTACCAGCTTAGACTCCTCCACATCTAGGTGAAATTAAAGGATGTTTTGTTTTTAAACTGAGCAGGCCTGAGGATTCTCTGATCCTTCCCTTTATCCCCCTCGCTGAGTGACCCAGTCCTCGCCTTCCTGGGCACGACCTCCAGTGAGTCTGGGCAGCTTTTCATGGAGAGGTCAACAGGTCTGCCTCCCTGTCCTGCAGGTGCTGATCCCTCTCTTCACGGGCCAGCCACTCTCTCCAGAGAAACTGCAAGAGGTCATGGATGGGCTGGCTGCCTCCTTGGATCAGTTTGAGGAGTTGTTTCTCCAGGACAAGCCTTTCCTGGTGGGAAGTGAAGTCTCTCTTGCAGATCTGGTGGCCGTTGTTGATCTCATGCAGGTAACCCTTGAGACTCTGGGCCCCCTTTCTCACCTGCATCTGATTCATCTCTAAAGCAATGATCCTTGGAGGGTGGCAGATGGGGCTGGGTGTTGGCCGAAGCGTAATGCTTGGCTGATAAAGGAAGTTCACCAACAAGCTAGACCCATGGAAAGGCCCAGAGGGCTCGGGTATGGGGGTGGAGGGCAGTAGGTGAGCCAATGAGCTACAGGCTGATGAACAGGTTGCTCTGATTATATACATAGTTCCTGAGTCCTTTCTCTCAAAGATGTAATTTGGCTTTTCCCAAATGGATAGATTCTGCCTTCTAGCCCATGGTCAGCCTTTCAAGGGAGACCAGACTAGGAAATCCAAGTCATGCATGCTAAGACTACTCTTATTATACGGTTACAATAACAGAATTTTGCAAGTCTGAATGCATTTCCCCCCTTCTTCCTTTCACCTTCGTGAGAACTAGGAAGGATCTCGTGTAAGACCCGTGCTCTGATTATAGTTCTATTCTGGACTCAGATTTATTTTATCTGACCATTGTCTTGATAGCAGCTCTTCCTCCTGTTCCTCAAGGTTATTTCTTCTTCCCATTCCACTCATTGACTTATGGAGGTGGCACCACCATCTGCCCTTGGGGTAGGTTCCCCTTCAGGAAAGGACATCCAGTTTAGAGCAACACCCGGAGATGTTTGTGTTCTGGAATTAGCTCTGGTGTGAGTCCTGGTGACAAGAAGGGACCAGCACAGGCACCCTGGGAAGATCAGAGACCGGGCCTGATGCCTGTAGGGTGTGAGCAGTTTCAGTGGCTTAGGCTAGATGGCCAAGAGAGATTGCCCTGTGAGATTGGGGCCCTGATCTTCCTCCAGATGATTTGATGCTGCTGTTTGCCAACCTCCACATCTCATCCCATTTTTCTGCAGCCTGTGGGCGTAGGATGTGACATTTTTAAGGACAGGCCCAAACTGGCAGAGTGGCGCAACAGGATGGAAGAAGTTGTTGGAAAGGAGCTCTTCCTACAAGCACATGAATTGATCCTGAACATTAGAAAACTGAGCACCATCCAGATTGATCCACAGCTGAAGGAGCAGCTGGCCCCTGTTTTGTTAAAGATGCTGAAATGAATTTAAAAAATTCAAAAGAGAAAATGTAGTGGCTAATCATGTTTCCATCTTTGGATTTGTTTAGTTAACCTTTCCATTATACCAGTAGGAGCATACAGGGAGGAGGCCATCCTCGCAAAAGCCCCATCAGGTAAGTTGGGCTCTGACCCACAGTCATCTAATGAGCTCCAAGGTTAAGTAAGGACATGAACCGGAATCTTCCCGATAACTTGACATTGGCTCTGCATCCTGCTATGGCGGACCATGACATCACAAGACCCTCTCCTGCGAGCGAGGGGAGGTCCTTTGAACTAGCTCCAGAAAAAGGTATGGCTGAGGAATGGGAGGAAGAGAAGCAAGTCTTCTTCTCATGGAACTGTCTCTCCTCTGCCCCTGACTAGAGAAGCAATCTGGCTGGAGCTGGAGTCTCACGGACTAGTGGAGTTTTTGCCCCACCCCAGACAAAATGGGGAGGGGTCACTGAGTCTCCTTCCAAGGTGGCCCTGGCCCCCACTTCTCCTCCCCTCCTTTCATTTCTCCAGGCTTGGAGCTGGCTGGCATCGCATATAGGATGCCAAGGAGAATGGGTCCTGAGAGGGTTGTTGTCTCTAGAGCCCTCCTGCCCCTCTGCCTTCTCCCCATGCCTGGGCCTGTCTACTCTCTCCTCAACTGGGTCAAGAAGGTCATAACATGGCAGAGACCAAGCACAATTTTTCCCACCGTCTTTGCCAACTCCAGCTTGGTAGCAACTTCTTGGTCCATGTAGTCACCTTTAGAGAGAAGTAAACAGATAATTCCCCTTACACATGTTTCTCCTTGAAGATGCAGCATAGTGGTTAAGATGGTGGACTAGGAGCAGGGAAATCCAGGTGCTGGTCCTGCTTAGGCACGGAAGCCAGCTGGGTGACCTTGGGCCAGTCCCTGTCTCCCAGCTCTGTGTAGCGTTGGGCTCTGCAACAAGCCCCCGCTGATAATGAAAACCCCTCTTCACATTGTGCATTGATAGCTTTGCTGTAAGAGCGAGGCAAAGTCATGCAAAAGCAAGCAGACCTGCAACCACACAGAAAAACACTCAGAAAAACACCAACACAGCTTGTTTTTCCACTTGACCTGAACTTATGTGCAGAGATTGGATGTTTCAAGATATTGGGAGGCAAAAGGCTGCTGATGTGGGCAGGTGTTTCTTACTCACTGTCTGTTCTGATGAAATGGTTGCTGCCTCCTTCCATGCGCTTCTGTCTTGGTGGGCAACCAAACTGACCCCCCAGAGTGGCCCGTAGTGGTTAAACTGTTCCCTGGGTTGGCCCAACAGGCAAATGTTGTTTTCCACAACTTCCGTCTGACAAAACAGCTGTGTTCACACAGCACAGAGGAATACCGTTAACAGGTTAGTTAAATTAACTCATTTTCACAGCATGCCGAGCTTGGTTAGTTTTAACCTCAGTTGAAACTTTCTGGTTTAGTGTATCATGTGAACCCAGAGAAACAGGTCAGCATAGCAACCAAGTTAAGCATGCTATTGACTAAAAACATCATTTAAACTGATGGCTGGAGAGGAATTGACTTTAGGAGAGCACAGGCTCCCGAGTGCTTCAGTAAATCCTTAATTTCTATTGTTAATTTCTTACAAAGATTTCCTGTTTCTTGGGGGAAACTGTGATAGTGACAACCATACCCCTCCTGTGCTATGCACGTGGCCCAGCTTCCCTGGCAGCAGAAGGGCCCAGATCAGGGGTCGCCGCTGCCAAATCCACTGGCTCCGCCCGACACCCGCTGCCTGCCTGGACGAGGAAGAATGCCAACCCCCAAGCCTCTCCCATGCCCAGCGAGAGCGAGCTCAGCCCAGGGGATCAGCCATGGGCGCAGCCTGTCCAAGCATTCACCACATGGCCAAGGCAAGGGCCTGGCCTGATTGGCCACCTGACCGCTTATTCCGCCGGCCAATCAGGTGCCTGAGAAGAGGTTTCCGTTGGTGCTGCCCACCTTGCAGCCTGGTCCTCGCCATGGTACTGGAGCTCTACCTCGACCTCCTTTCCCAGCCTTGCAGGGCAGTCTACATCTTTGCCAAAAAGAACAACATCCCTTTCATGCTGAAAGCCATTGAGATGCTGAAAGGTAAGATGGGGGGGGGGGGGTTCAGCTGTACCTCCCATCTTCTCCTGCCCCATCCCATGGATGTGCCCCCTTTTCTTTCCACCAACCTTCCCAACACATCGCAGCTCCCTGCCTCAATTCCCCCTTGAGACTTCCCATCTCAAGGAAGCTTCAGAGGTGACCTGCGGGGCATGAAGGGCATCTGTAGGCATCTTCCAATTGCTTGGGAAATAGGATTTGTACTTTTATGATGCTGAGGGAGGCAAAATCTTGTCCTTCTCCACAATAGCCAAGCCACCCCTCCAGAGGCAACATGCAAGCTTCTCAGAGGCCTCTCTTGGACCATTTCAGATGGGACAATGGTCCTTGCACCCACTGGAGGTCCTCTTACGCCAACACTTTTCACTGAATCCTCCTGAGTGCAAACGCCACTGCTGAGGCTGTGGCCACAGAGGAAGGCCCCCTGCTGTGGGCCAGCATGGCACCCACCCAGGCCATCCCACCAGTACCACTGGGGAGCCTGGAGGCTTTGGGGAGGGAGGCCCATCTGGGATTTAGACCCTCAACCCACCCGGAGCCTCTGGGACACCCTCCTCCTGGCACCCATGTCTGGCCCTGAGCAGTTTCCGGTCATTTGGTGGAAATCAGGAGCTCTTAAAGTTTTGGAGGCTGAACTCAGCTAAAAGTG